TTTATATCCAAATGCTTGTCTGATGCAGGCACTGGCCACACCTGAAGCATGTGGTGTTAGGATAGAGATCATCTGTGCATTGTTAACAGAAGAGTCTTTTGCATCTGATGCTCTGCCTTGTCTTCTAATGAATAAGATGAGAAGGTGCATGGCAGAGAAGGGGGTTTAGGCAGCTCTCAGGGCCACACTCTGGAAACTGCAGAGTAATGTTCATGCTCTGTGACCTTTCTTCACCTATTTTTCCAAACAGCAACACCAACATTGACACCTGATATCACTGTGGGATGTCACTGTGTAATGGGCCACAATGTAGCATCACTGTATATTCCAGGACCCCGACTTGCAGGGAATAAGATGTCAGGAGTAACACCTTACAATCATGTCAATCTGTTCAATGGGTGACCCTGGCTCTGAGTTTCAAAGACACTCTGCAACACCCAGCAAGATGGATACAGATTACAAAATGTTTCATTTGGTGTTTCGCAGAGCCGTTTGATTCATAAAGGAGCAGAGCTGGGACCCATTGCATGTGCTGTGTGGGCTATACAGGATCAAGCCAGGTTAGTTTTGGGGATGTGAAACCGCCCAGGAAAAAGAAAACTCAGAGCGCTCTAGGAAGTGGTGTGGTGGGTGAGTCACTCAGGAACACCTCTTTCTGTGGGACTGATGCTGACATAATGCCATAGCCTACAGCAAATCAGCTTTGTAAGCACTGAGGGTGTCATCATCTGCTGAAATTTAAAACAGCTCTTCAGATCACTCTTAATAAGTAAAGTCACATAGAGTCCTTCATAAACCTAGGTGGGTTAACCCCATCATCCTGGCCAAGTAGCACCTCAGGTAATTACTGTGTGACAGGCTAAATGACCCCTGTTAATTTGGTAAGAAAAGGTGTTTGTCACTTCCTGTCCTGTATTGCAATGTCCTATTGCTGTGCACAGGGAAACAGGAAATAGGATGTGTGCTTTATTTGCATCTGAATTTTTAAGTGGTTTTGGGATCTGCTTTAAGGGAAGGTATGATATGCATGGAAAATTGGTTTCACTCTGCACAATGTTGTTTTATTGATAGGATCAGAAACAAACACACAGTGGGTCTGACAAGGGATTTCAGATGGACTTGACTGCTCTATGGTGCCTCTCCTGCTATAGCTCTATAGGCACAGCTGTGTTGCCAGAGCTCTGTGATGGAGACACGGGAATGGTAGCAGAAAAGGATCTTAAATCATGCCACCAAAATGACCCCTGAATGACATTAGCTGACAGGAGCCCTCTTCTGTCAGCAGAGCTGTATCTGCCCCAGGGGTTTTGCCAACATTGCTACATTGGCATTGGGGTGAGATCTTTCTGCTACACATAGCCAATGTAGTTAAGCCAGCTAAACTTTGTAGTGTAGATCTGGCCTTAGATTTTTTTAAAAGGCAGCTAGATGTCATTTACATTCCTTCTGTCTTTTGTGTCTACTCTGTACCTAGCACAACAGAGTCCAGATCTATGACTGGCTCCTCTGGGCTACTACATATGGAATTCACTGCTGTGAAATGGCTGTAAAATGGAAGTAAATGACGTGAATCTTGGGCTCAGGCACATGCACACACGCTCACACACATCCCATCCTCCTCCTCTTCCTCTTCTTCCTCCTCCTGCTGACTTCAAGGGGAGTGAGACAGGTTTGTCGCAGGGAAGGATTAAGTCCACAATCAAGAATTCAGATCTCTGAGCCACCACCTAATGCTTCTGTTCCCAAAATGCGGTCCATGGAAATCGTGCTAACCAATTCGTGAGTAGCTGGCTGATTCTGTGGCTTCTTCCTCTTCCCCACCCACCCCCTCCCCACCCAATGCCACATTGCATTGAAGAAGTGACTTTACATTAAATACTTCCTTACTATTAATTTTTGTACCTGAAAAATGACAACAGTAATGTCCATAAGGGCGTTACATGGTCAAGAGTAGAAAGGAAGGGGGGTTGTACAGTGCATATTAAGAGGGAAGGTGGTCCAAATGTCTGGGTATGGTCAATGTGGTGAGTGGGAAGGGAAGTGTTCAGTTGTGGTTCACACTATGAAACAGTCTTTTTTCTAAGTTTCTTCTTTTTGTTTGATGCAGAAAGCGCTAGGTGAGGTTCTCTAGCCTGTGTGATGATCAGGTTAGGTTACCCTAACAGCTCCTTCTGGCCTCTGAATAATATAATACGGCTGTCTAGAAGTGAATTGCCCATGAGACCTTTGCATCCAGTCAGACATTGCCTAGAATAACTACCAGGAGTAGCTTTAAGATGACTGAAGCTGGGCTCATTATCCTGGCTGCTGGGACAAGCAGAGGTTAGGGTGCTGCAAGGCCAGTACACATGGCTGATAAAGGGAAGCCTCGCTCAATAATGACCTCCTCTGGCCAGATAAGGGATAGCAGTGCTGGAATTCTTCCCAGTCAGTCACATCTGGAAGGGTGGAGGTTATGATAAATCAGAGGTTCCCAAATTTCTTCTTATTGCATGCCCCCTTCCAGATTTACCAGCTGCCCATGTACCCCTATCTGCATACGTTTTATAGTTTAACCCCTTAAATGCCAATTATAATTAAAAAATCTGCCATGACAAAATTTCTCCCGCATACCCCCAGAGTTGTCTTGCGTACCCCCAGAGGTATGCATGCCACCATTTGGGATCCCCTGTGATAGATGATAGCTGACAGAAAAATTGGTGGGAATTCCTCTTAATCTCAGATGTGGAGGTCTCTCTCCCCGCAAAATCCTGTTGTTTCCAGCTAGTGTTCTCTAGCTAGTGTTATGATTATCTAACTGGTATACTTTATGCATTTGTTTTACAGCAGAGCACAGAGACCCCAGTTGGGATCATGGTGAGTGATGTACTAACATGCCATAAGGCAGCCCACACCCCAAGGAGTGGACGGACAACACAGACAGAGACAGGCTATAGGAACACACAGTGGCACATACTAGGAGCCTGGAAGAGCAGTTGCTCACTCACAGCTCATTGAAGTCCACAGAATTACTCACAAGAGTAAGCATTCATTAGACTAACAAAAGGTCTCCACAATCTGGAAAGCCCAGATCCACACACAAACCAACTGCAGATGCTTCCTCAGAGGCTTGACGAAGGGTATTTGTACCCGAAAGCTTGCAAAGAAGAATTTTTCCAACTATTTGAGTTGAAGATATTAGATTTACCAAAAGAACCTTGTCTGCCTATGTCCTTAGGCCAACACAGCTACAACTTGTACCCCAGATCCACATGAGCATTAAAACTTTTAACTCCCATAAGCACCTAAATTCCTCCTAAAAGTGTTTGACTGGAGGCATCACAGGTTTGTTGTTATTAAGATAAGAGGACAAGGCATATTGATGAGTCACTAATGATCCAGTCTAAGATAAGGCAATGGAGAGACATCCCATGACTTCAATGAGAATATGATCAGGCCTTGTTGATAAAGCAAACATTCCTGACTGTGGCATAATAAAGGCTCTTCTAGGAACCAGTCTGGTGACTCTGTTTTCTCAGGTACATTGTTATGGAGCAGAACAAGGCAATAGAAATGCCAGTGGTATCTCAGCCCTCATTGTTGCTCCTTCTCCTGCCACCAGCAAAACACATCAGAAGAAAGAGGAAGTGAAACTAGTGCACAAGGCGGTATATTTCCTTATACAAAGATACACACACGTGCATACACACACAGATGAAATTATGAGTCTATTGTTGGCTGATAGATAAACCAATCAAGCTCTTGTCAGTCCTAAAACAGAGATGCTGAAAAAGTTCCAGCGGAAATGAGCACTCTGGGCCTGTGGTTCTCATTCAGTAACCATCAGCTTCCTCTCTGGCAGGTGTTTACTCTCTCAACAAAAGAAAATGGGCAAAGATACTCCACTCCGCTGTCACGCTGTGGAACCTCTGAGAACTCTCAACTTTCTAACGCTCTCAGGAAGTTTCTGTTCTCTCCAAATGCCACCCTCTACCCTGCATCTAAACCAACAGAGAAGATGCTTACACATGATGGACACTGCAGCAAAGCAGAGGTGTTCAGGCAGTGAAGAAACAAAAAAATCACACCACTTTTAGCTTTGTAGAAGTGCTGTGTTAGACACCAGATTGGCCTTATAGAAGCTTGGGGTGGATATGTGCACCACAGGCCTGGGATTGTGGGATTCAAAACACAGTTTGGGGCCCTTCTGGTTTGGAGGGAAAGCTTGGAAGTTTGACATCAGTTTGATGCAGCAGTGTCTGCCTGAGTCTGCAGGCAGCTTGAAGCAATAGTTCATGGTGCACCTGAAATGTGATGGGTGGGCATGGAAGCACTGCATCTTTGCAGCTTGTGCTTGGTCAATCACACATGCAGTTAGCAACAGCACAGGTCTATAATGAAGACAAGATCTGAGAGGCCATCATTTAGTCCATGTTGTTGCTGTTCTGAACCTCCAACCCGACCAGGAAATACCTTGCACCTCCCTTGGGCATCACCCCAGAATACCCTCACATGGCAGAACAGTATAGAGTCCTTTGACTGGCTGTGTATTATCTTAGGAAATCCTCTGGACATTAAAAAAAGCTACAATGTTAAAAAGAATTAGAAAAAAGTCACACTGCAAGGTCTAATATTTCACAATCCCAGGAACTTTTTTTACCAACTCATTGCAAATATTCTTTTTTGCACTTTTCTGAGCATTTGGCTTTGGACCATGGACCAAAATGCAATCCCAGCTATATTTCCTACCCCTAATTCCTGCACTACTCAACTTCTTTAGCAGCATAGAGCGTGGGGGTGGGGAAACAGTCTGGTTCACTTTAGGATTATCAACCCACCACTCACAGGTACCATCCGTAACATGACCGGCGACAGGCTGGGAGTTTCCATGGCATCTCCACAGGCCTTGGATATCCAACTGGTCACTGCATGACAGAGGAGGACCTCCCAGTAGGCCTCTGTGTTTAAAAAATAGCTCTTCCCATGAAGAGAAACAGGGTAGCATCATCCTCAAAAGTTCGAGTGAGAACTGCACACTTGCTGTGAAGCATCTTGGACAAGTCGTTTTGATCTATGGTGCCTCCATGCTGTACTGTGTCCCAGCTAGAAGAGACAGTGGCAGAATAACAGCTTTTCTCCTGCTTCAGGCCAGACTGGTAGCTCTTTGTGAGGCAATTCTCTTGAATAAGCAGGGCTGAGGGTGAGAAAACATTAGTGAGAGAATTCAGTTGGGAGCTGAAAAGTAGGATGCAATGAGCCTGCCTGAGCCTTGCTGACAGCACAGATCAGGTTTCACGCTAACCGCTTTCCTCTTTTAGCACTGTATCTCTGCCCTAGAGGAGATGAAAACCAGACCCTCAAACCCAAGGAGAGGGGCTGGGGGCAGGAGGCACATTGGAGTCCCAGGCTCTGCATCTGTGTTGATGTGCATTGGCTCCAAATCTCAAAAGGGCCTGTTTGCTGGTGAGGAGCAGAGCAACTCTTGTTTACTTCTCATTACTGCTTCTTATTTGCTGCCTATTCCTGCAGAAGGAAGAGGGGGAGAAAAGCTGGAAACCCCAATCACAGGGAAGGGAGTAGGGTCCAAAGCATGTAGTGTTGTCCTAACCAACAGCTCTCTCTGGGGACTTCACCGCTGGCTTCACTGGGTGCCACTTGCACTGTTGCTTAGTGCTTTTGAAAATGCCACTTGGTGGTAGATGTTAGCTTAGAAAACAAAGTTATGGGCTTTCAGGCTTCCCTAGGGAGATATTTTATTTTTATTTTTTTTACGTTTTTTCATATTCCAGGTCAAATTAGCCAAATCAGTTCTGAATCCGCTCAGCCGAGCAAAACTCAATCGTTCAAACACCATATGTAGCGCTACAACCGACAAATATCCTGCACCCCAGATTTTTCAGCCTGGGGCTTCAGATACTCACAAATCCCTGGGAAGATGCTGGTGGGAGGCTCACGTACACTTCTCCTGGCTTAGGGAAGCAGCCGTCCAACCCGCCACCCCACCATGATTCAAACAACATAGGCCTAGCTTGTCTACCCAGAGTTTAAAAGGCTTGGCATGAGACCCAGCAGTAGCAGACGGTGCATGCAGGGTTTGGCAGGAGCTCTGCCAGTTTACACCAGTTGAGGGTCTGACCTGAGGGGGCTACTGAATACCCAGAACTTGCCACCTGCTCTGGATTCAGCCGTACGACTGAACAGCAAAACAAGCTGCTCTGCTCTCTGCCCACATCCTCGCTTCAATGCCCCTGCCCTAAGCAGGCCTTCCTCATCCTCTCATCTGGAAGCTTTGAGATTCATTTAATACCACAGAGACATTCAAGTCCAAAGGCACCTGGTGCCCATGGCCACTGCTCTCTCCCCACTGCTCCTTGTTTTAGGAGTCGATGGGGTAAGGGAATTCATGGGAAGAGCTTCTTCTAACTTCTGCTTCTGTTGCCGTGCAGGCTCGTGACACAGAAGCGGTTGAGAGGCACTGATTCATAAGCTTCTCTAATTAGGCATTTTATTATACCATGTCCAAGTCTCTCTTCTTCGGGAGAGTAGCCACAGACTCCTGGGGTGTTTATAGACGTGCTCCAGGAGGGAGGAAAAGGGGGAAGGGGAGGGAGGGCACTTTAATTAGAGTGGTTCTGAGAGCTGCTCTAATTAAAATGCCTGGAGCATCACGTGTATCAACATCCCTGTGTTGGAAAATGGTGGCAGAGGCACTTTAACTAAAGCTCGTCAAATAAGCTTTAGTCCAAGTGCCCCTGCTGCCATTTTTCAGTGTGGAGACACTGATACAGGTGACACTGGAGCCTGCTGGAGCATGGTAATTACCACGCTCCAGGAGACTCAATTAATCAAATCCATTCTGATATGTTGCAATTACAACACATTCAAGCAGGCTCTCTGCATGTGTATAGGCGCCCCTTGGTTTTCCTTTTTCATTCAGGAGATGAGTTTCATCTGTCTCAGTCTATGGCTTCCTGTTGCTGCTGCTTTATGGATTATGAATTATGAAGGGCAAAAGACCCTGGGCTCTTCCTTCTGCAGCCCAACTCAGCCAGGCAAGGAACTTGTCTCCTTTTAACCTCTGCAGGTATCTAAGCTTAACCCCTAATCGGCAATTGTATTGCCTGGGTCAGTACTGTGTCCTAATACTCCTTGTATACTCCATATCTACAACCCTGCACCCTCCTTGGGGAGGCATCAAGTCTCTTGCGATTAAGGCTTAGCTTGTTCTGCCTCATTTCAAGCCCACGCAGACACTGTGGGTGTGAAGGTTTGCGTCAAACATGAACATGATTGGGCTCATGTTCTGTTCAGACGAGACAGAAAAGGAGGAGAGAGGAAAAACACCACAGGGGGCTGAGGGTGAGCAAACAGAACGGAGAGTGGGCAGAGTGAAATGCAAATATGGGGGAGACTGAGAAAAAGGCACCAAGGGTTAGGAAAAGAGAAACTGTACAAAGGCAACAAACAGCACAGCCCCCATGGCCTCACTCTTATGTTCTGGGTAGCCCCGGGGGGAAGGGGATATCCCCTGTCCTTGGCGCATAGCAGAGACTTCTCCTTTGCTAACAAGATAAGTCTGTTTGTTGTTTTAAATTGAAACACCCTTTCATGATCAGCGGCTTCAGACTGCAGAGGGAGAAAGTTCCCAAACTCAGCCTTAACTGTGGCAGTGAAGAGGTTGGCAGAAGCTCAAACACAAGGAGTTTCTCCTTTGCCAGGTGTAATATTTTAGGATTACCCTGATATGGTATCAGGTAGCAACTCCACAGACAGACTGAGGAAAGGGGCTATAGGGTGGAGGAAAATACTGGGCCAGACTCTGATGGAAGTGACCCTGAGGAAATGGAAATGAGCATTGGGCCCATTCACATTATAATCCTGGATCGTCGACTGGTGTAAATCAGCATTGTGGTATTCAACTCATTGACAACCTGGCCCATGGCTAGAAGATTGTTCAGCAGATCCCTTTCCCAGTACAGGGCTGTTCTCTATACCGTTCTGTGAGGACTGATTTCAAATGCCTCATGTGCTGGAGTGTCCATAAATTACTTTGGAAGACTTGTTTAGCTTCACCTTGAGGTAAGCAGCTGGCTGGGCCTTTCCATAAGGGCTTCAGAGGTTCTGAAATGCCCTCCCATCTCCAGGACAAAGAAATCTAAACTAGGCAGCTGCAGGATCCACATGATTCATCTTGGGGTAGAAGAAAGGTAAAGGGGTTGCAACACTGCCTGGATGCATGGAGGTGCTAGTGTTTGATTGTGGGCTGCTGTTTACAATGTGTTGCACCCTTAGCTCATAATGACAGATTGGGAGCCTGAGTGTTAAAGCGCTGTATTTATTCTAAATGCAAATAAGCCAAGAAATACAAAATAATTAGTTCCCCCTTACTCCCACTGGCCCAGGTTGTAACTCCACCCACTCCAGTGGGGTTTATTCTGAGTTATACCAGTGTGAGGAGTGTGTTAAGGCCCCTGGGTTTCATTTATCTCTACAGTGTCAGACACAAGGATGGGGGATGCAAATAAATGGTGCCTGATTCTCACTTAGGCTGAAACCACTTCACACCACTCTGCCAAGGGAGGAAAATATGCTTTCCTCTTTTCTTCCTTCCTTTCCTTCCCTCTCTTCCTTCCTCCCTTATTTGAGGTATACAGTATATTACTTTAGCATTTCATAATTTTCCATGTATTTATCCTTGCAACAGCCCTGGGTGATTAGGAAGCAGTATCATCTATTCACACTGTATCTGTATTTAAACACTCTCTTTAAGGCTCATGTGCATTGTCCAGTTGGCATGAATGGATCTGCATATACATAAAAATGAGGCCCATAATCTCTCCCTGGTTCATTATTCCTTTGTGTGCCCATCACATGCTGGGCACTGGATGAGGGTCCAGGTGCCACTCTAGCATTTATTCAAATGAAAGCTCATAAAGAAATGCACAACTCTAGAACTCTTGGTTCAGAGATGATACCTTTTATTAGACCAACTAAGAAATTGCAGGAAAGCTCATAATGGTTCGCGGGGACCCAGGGAAGGAGCTAGGCTCTGTGGCTAGCAGGAGTCTTGACAATAAGCGGAAAGAAGCTGTTGAAGGTAGGAAGGTTTTCAGTCTTCTTCCGACTGTGGGAAGGAAACTGTTAGGGAAGTTCTCATTCCTTTGGTACCAGGAGAGGGGGCTCTTCAGCTAGTGGGAACCAGCATCAGGATATGAAAGGAGGGAGGGAGGGAGGGAGAGGAAAAGTGCAGCAGCAGCTGGTTGCTGCTGGGGGTAGGACCTAGGAGGAGTTGAACTCTGTCAGTGGGGCAGGGAGCCAGGATGCTTATTAAAACACAGCAGAGCCCACAGGGCAGAGAGAGGAGAGAGCAAGAGGCACTGCTTTCACCCTAACCAATAAGAGGAGCATCTGGAAGTGGCTTTTCCCAAACAAGGCACCAGGGAGCAGGGCTTGGGAGGCATGTGAGAAACCGTGCCCCGGCCTGGAGGGCAAGTGAGCTCTGGGAATCCAAGAGAAAGGAAGGAGTAGAGGCTGCGTCTCTGGAAGGCACTTGCGCTGGTTGGGAAAGAGGTAGGCAAGCCAGGGGGGAGCTGAGTTGGAGGGGAGGCACTGGAGGGTAAAGACCCTGAAGCCACCACAGCCGGACGGTGCCTGGTTCTTGCATGGACCCAGTGTGACCCCAGGGAGGTCTGGACCAAGCAGCAGCCAGGACCAGTGCAGGAGTCCACTCCAGTGGCAATGCTGCTGCGCCTGCTGGAAGCCGAGCTGCTCTTGGCTTCCCTGATCTCCACGCTGGAGTCGCTCTCTGGGCCCTTCAGGCAATTCTCCGCCGAGCAGACAAGGTAAGGTAGTGCATGGCCCCCTGCAGCACCTTCCTCCGAGAGCCCTGGCCCCCAGCTCCCTGCACTGGTGGGTGCTAAGTATTGGTCTCTACACCAGTACTGCTGGGTGCTGGGGGGTCTTCTCCACTGGAGCTGTGAGGCAAGGGAATGGGGCCAGCTGGGAGGAGATTAGCAGGAAGGCAAAGACTAGGATCCCAATAAGGGAGATCTGCTCAGTGGGGACACTGCTCATCTCCATGGGGAAAAGGAAGAGAGCTGTTTGGTTTGGGCCTGGGTTGTGATGGGGGGTGCTGGGTGGGAGCCACAGGACCCCCAAAAGCAGTCATCCCCACCTCACCCTCTACCCTGACAAATCCCCCTTGGAGTTTGTGCTCTGGCACAGCAGAAAAATTCTCCCCCACCCCCTTCCAGCGCATGCCACGAGGTGCCCAAATGCAGGCTCCTTCCCATAGCAAGTCGGATGGGGTGAGGTGCTGCCTCTCAGCTAGTCCCCCTCCTCCCCCAGCTCCATAGAAACTGATATCACCTTGCTTTCAGGAACATAATTAGGATGATTAGAGAGGCCCCCAGGGCACTCAGAGGCTCTGATGCTTGGCACTCCGCCAGGTGTCCAAAGAGCCCCTGAACTACAGGGACTGTCACTATTTCCATGAAGGATATTTACCTGTCTGCCAACTGCCAGTAGTTGTCTTCTGTAGAGGCAAGGGTGAAATTAGTCCTCCCAAAAATAAAGGCCCATGATCTTCTCTCCATCAGTCCCAGCAGGGCCACTCAGCCTTGAGCTAGAGCTCCCCTGGTTGTCCACCCCCATGGTCTCTCCACACAGCTCTGTGAATGCCCATTCAACGTGGCCTGCACCCCTCCAGCTCTTCCAGTAGAGCCTCTTTCAATGCATGTCAGTCCTTCCTGGGTTAAAAGTGGATTTTGCGCTGGCCTGACCATAGCCTCTCAGACATTGGCTGCAGGCCAGGCAGAGTGGACAGTGAAGCATTGCTTCAGTCAGGAGAGAGGATTCCTCCCACTGTGGGGCACTCAGACCCAATCTCATAGCTGAGACTGCCAACAAGGGGGTGCCAATGAGTGTTAATTGCATTTGGCAATGGCCCTGTAGGAACTGGGCTTAGTTTCCACCAGCTGCTTAGCAGCCCTCAGAGGAAAGAGACCCTTTCCCTGCTAGATTATGCATTTGGATCCAACCTAGGTGGCTAGTGACTGAAAGTCAGTCTCCTATTACTGATTCCCCAAAGCCCTTTGTAGCTTATTCTTGACCTACAGCTTCCTCTTCTTGTCCAGGCCTTGCAGATCTATGACAGTGTCAATACTGGGAGGTAGGGTGTGGCCCATGGCACCAAGCAGGCCCTACAATGAATCTGAACCCATGGGCATCCAGCAACCATGCTAGAGGGCACCACTGTGAAGCCCAGCTTGCATGCTCCGTGCATGCTACACCCCAAAATGGAAGTCATGGGGCCAACAGCGTCCGTGCCACTAAGCATGGCCAAGCATGAGTGAGCACGCTGTGCATCATGGCAGCACCCCCTAGCATGGTCTGGAGACACCGTGGATGTGCCCAGTGGGGCTCCACTATGGGCTACACTTACCAAAATGCATCCCAGACTCAACAGCCCTCCAATCTAAAGCTACTGTAGATGCCAGCACCTAGACTCCCAGCTGCCTTTGCCCACAGAGGCATTACCAGGTGCTACCATGCAATGGAAAAACCACACAGCCAGGTTCTTGTCCCCCTAAAGGAGCAGGGGAAAGAGGCATATCCTTCATTTGTCCCTTCAGAGCAATCATTAGGGATACAAAATGTACGCGCCAAAACCTGAGCTCCCAAAACTTCTGATGAGGTCAAGGTGACCAAGGTCTAAGGAGACATAACTCCATTGACTTCAGCAGCATTGCACCAGAGCTGAATTTGGCACAGTGGGAATTTGGCAGAAGGGAGAATTTCAGGGTATGCATCTGACCCTCCCTTCACAAGGCAGGTGTAAATCAGGAAGAACTCCCTGATTCTCAGCAGGGAGGAAGTCACTGGGGGTCGCATCGCTGTTCAACCAGGGTTGGGAGAGGAGGATGGGGTGCTGGATTCGAATCCTGAATCTGAACAAGAAAAAGCCCGAGGTTCCTGGACATCTCAGAGGCAGGCAGCCTGTCTTTGAAAAGTTGTGTAGAGCTAGGGCAAGAAACAGAAATATTTGCTAGGGGCCAGAGACCCAGGTGGTGTAACTGGGTGTGGATCTTGGGATGGATCTTAAACCAGCCGAGTTTTGACCCGAAATCCTCTCCCATCCATTTCCTTGAGCCTCAGAGGCGACTGTTTTCCTTGGTGTTGCGCAATGGAATCGCTGGAACAAATGACACAGTTCCCGATGCCTGTCAAAACCAATTTGCTTGGAGCGACCAGGAGAAATGCTTTAACTCTGCCTGTTGGTGCTCCCGCAGGCCTTACGCCCACTCACAGCCACGTGACAGCCTCCTCTCCATTCCGAGCCATGCGACCCCTTGCGAACCTCTCCATGGCCCAAGGCCTGGCAACCTTTTCCAGGCCCACCCTAGACCACTTATAGGGCTGAGATCACTGGGGCTGGCTTGGATCTGAGTGCAGAGTCCAGGCAAAGGGTTGCACAATTGCTTGGGAGGGGGAATTTAATGTGGATCATATTTAAAGGACAAGATCAGTGGGATGGGCATCAGAGGATGTTTCCAGGAGGTTTTTGGGAGCCCTGGTGGGAATGCACCTTTGATGGAGATACACTAGGGATAAATTTGGCCATAGGCACTGTTGCCAACTCTTGCAGGTTTTATCACAGCTCCAGTCCTATTTGATGCTTTTTTGTAAAGTCCCCACTCCAAGATTACATAAGAAGTGTTGCTTTCATTTTAACAAAAAGAGAAAGTTTCTAACACTAGTGTTTGCAGAGAAAAGACTGGAAACGTGACCCTCACTGCCCCCACCCCCATTCCCAGCAAGCTCAAAAACTAGGAGGCAAATGGAAAGATCCCTGACTTGCTTGTTTTCCTAAAAAGCTCACAGTATTGAGGCCAAACTCACAAATTTCTGACTCCTGATCCTTGAACATACGTAGCTTGGAGCACTGCCAGCCGGTTCACTAGTGTGAAGGGCAGACAGATGCTCACAATCGTAAGTACACACACACACACACACACACACATACACACAGAGTGTGCAACCATCACTCACGCAAAGCTGCACTAAAACACACGCTTGCAAGGCAGGTGCCTCTCCCAGCCAGTTTTTGGACGCAGTCCATATGCTGGCAGAACCAAGGCTCCTCCTGGGGTTAGGCTTTTTTAATGTGAAAACTAACAACAAGATATTGGGAGGGTCACATGCCACCTCTTACCCAGTCCCCACAGCATCCCACACTCTCTTCTCCACAGCAGAAGCCTTTTGGCCCAGTGACAAGCTGTTCCCAGTGAGCCACTTGGAAGCCTCGGTGTTCAATTGCCAATCAGCGTAACACTATTACTTAATAGTGCTATGGCTTGCTTTCACTTATCCCAGCAGGCATGACATTAGCTTAGCCCTAGGTTACCACCAAGACAGGCATGTAGCTAGATCAGGAAGTATGATGGCCCTGTAGATGACTTAGCCAGTAGCAGATCCAGGAACAGGCAAGTGGAAGTGTGGGGTGGTTGGAGGCACATCTATACACCATCTTAAGTCCCTTGTGTACTTCAAGATCAGGGTCCTTCAAGCCATAGAACCACAGAACAGTCCCAGGTGGTTGAGGCTGACGTGGGATGGGACAGGGTGGCTGGTAGTTTGATCTTCCAAGAACAAACAAGTCTTACATTCCTCCTCCTCCTCCTTTTCAGCAGTGAATCTTGTCCTGGGAATAAAATCTTGACAGTGAAGTATTCCTGCACAGGCTCAGGTGGGAGCCCAGCCACCTGTTTACGGTAAGACATGTGCAAGCTTTGGGGAGGGTGGGTGTAGGGAAGGCTCACGGTGTGTTGAGACTGGAGAGGTATCAAGGGCTCTGCTCTTCTCCATGTTGAGGAGGCATAATGAGCAAACAACTCTCGGCATAGCTTCATGTGATCCAATGATCAGAACTAGGGCAATGGGGGTGTGAGGACTCCTGGGCCTCGTTTCTGGTTCTTCCACTCCCCATAAGCAAGTCACTTCATTTTTTCTGTGCCTTGATTTCCCCATTGGAGAATCAGGGGCTGATCCCACATGTCAACTCCCAGATGGCTCCGCAGCTGGCATAAATCATCAAAGCTGCATTCACTCCAGTGGAACTCTGCTGATGTTACGTCTGCTGGAGAGTTGGCCCAGTGGAGGCTCTGCACATGGGAGGAATGCAGGACCTAGCCCAAAGGTGTTCTGGAGCTTAATGAGTTAATGCTTGTGGCATGCTTGGAGATGCACAGATAAAAGGCACCATAAGCACGTCCTATATTATTATCAGCCAGAGCTTCTCCTGTTAAAACCATTAGGATGTAACTCTTTCCTCGCCTGAGATTTCAGCACTTTGTGTTCATTGACTGGCCTTCTGCAATAAATCACCCCACGGAGATCCCTGCTCCTGTATTAGAACCAGGAGGTCTGAAGTGTCACAACCCAAACCACGTGTCTTCCTGAGGCTGCCCAGCTGAATGCCAGATGTGGCTGGCTTTCTTCTGACAGGCTTTCTATTCGGTATAATGCAGGTTGAGGAAAGCAGTGCCTGGCAGGCTCCAGTCATTGCAAAGGCATTTTTTAATACAGCTACTCCAGCATGTTTTTATGCATCACCAAAGGGAAGGCTTGAGGCTTTTCAAGAGGTAGAAATAGATTGGCGCAGGTAAAGGGGAGGGCTCTTGGCCAGAGGAATGCACTAGCCCATGCTGGTAGCTCTGAATCCATGGGTCTCCCTTTGATCCACTGTGATCCTGCTCTCATGTGGGTCATCTACAAAGCGAGGCACCTCCAAATGGCTCTAATCACTGGGCTGCGATCCCGTCCTCAAAGAGTTTGCAGATGGGAATGTTAAACAGCAGCTATAATTAATTATCAGAACAATGGTGGCAGAAAGCCTCTGTCTCTTAGAAAACCTTAAATCAAGGGCCTAAAAAGATAAAAGGTAAAACCTTTAGAATAATGTAAGAGCCTAAATTTCATTTGTAAGGGCCACCAAAATGCCCCTGCATTACATTTTTGGCAATTGGCAGTGTCCCACTTTCCCAAGTCACTTAGAAACCAAAGTCCCTTTGTTTGGAAGGATCTTTCCCTCAGATGTGCCCATGTAAACTTCGGCTCTAAGAGCATTTAGGTGTTTTGAGATTTTACCCTATATCTTCTAGGATCTTCATTTAAAGGTTCCCAAGTGAAGGGGAATTTGCTCGACTCACTGTTCTGGTGGTCATTTGCCATCCCTGTAAGAAACAAAAAAGAAGTATCATCTTTTCTTAATATAACACACCATGGAATATAATATGCTCCTTGTTTTTGAAAGGCAGAATGAAGGAGAGAAAAAGATCCTTCCTTGTAGTAAGCAAGTAAGTAGCAGCAGCTAGGGCAGTGATTCTCAACCAGGGTGCCTTGAGAGCCTTTCAAGGATGATGCAGAGGGCTAGGCAATGTTAGCACTGTTAGGTATGCAAACACGATTCACAATATAAACCCAGAGATTTCAAATAGGGATCCATAGTGCCAAAAGCTTTCTGCCCGGCTGTGGTCTTTCTAGTTCTTTGTAACAGGATTGCTCTAATTTTCTATAGCCAAAAACAAGTGAAATCTAAGAGCTGGCATTTTCTGAGGGGTGCTTCAAGCCTAAAAAAGTTGAAAGCCAGACCCATCCACTATTCTGCTCCCTGTGGATTGCTGCACATTTTACTTTCGTTTTGGCCTGGTAAGCAACAGAAATTGCGCTTACCGTGTTTCTCACACATAATATGAACTCTAACTTCCTAGCAGCTGATTTGTGAAAAAAGGTATGTGTTGAAAAATGTCTTGCCTTCTACATCACAATCTTCTTTCTGGCAGATATTGTGGCCTCTGCCCTGTTCTGAAAAGTGACTTAGGTACTTAGGAGCCTCTGCTTGAGATGCAACAGAAGTGTGCTATTGAGCACCTCAGCAAGCTATCTGAAAGCAAACTCGGATGTTCCCACCCATGCTACAGTCCCAACACCTGATTGCAGTGTAAACATCCTCCAAGGCTGTAAATAGATGTCTCATTTGACATAGGCCTAATTGCCCTGGGGTTTGACCCAGATCAGAACAGGTGTAGCACAGTCATTCACATGTTGCCCTTCCAAACTGCTTTGCTGCTTTTCCACCAGAGAGGATCACACAGCCTGGCTAGCTTGTCCTGGGAAAAAGTGCAGTAAACCTGCAGGCGCACACAGCCACATCCTGGGAGAAAACATGTTATCCTGCATACTTCAGAGAGGCTTGAAGCGGGATGGTAGATATGGACTTCTATAGGATCCTTTTTCCCAGAAGTGCAAGATCTATTTACAGCCAAAGATGCATTTGATTCCTAAAGCCTAGATCCTCAAGGTGCTGGGCCCCTCACTGTTCCTTGAAGAGCTAGATCTAAATACCCAGAGGTCAGTTTTTCCAAGGCATCTAAAGAGATGGGATTTGCAAAAGAATCTGACGTGATCAAAGGGAGTTAGAGACTAATCTTCTTATGTCCTTTTGAAAAATCAATCTCTGCTTTTAGGCTTCTTTGTAAATCTGGCCTCAAGCCCCTCACAAAAATGGAAAGGAGGCTCCTAAATCCTTTAAGCAGTTTAAAATTCTGCCCCCGCACTTTGGTCAACCTCAGGTCATTGGTTATGAGTAAGAATCACAAAGCTAAATTGCATAATCTGTTTATGCTGGCCTGCCTGTTTTATCCTAACGGCTTCCATCAGCTTTGAGAACGTGTGACACTAGATACAAAGCAGCTTCCAGGAAGGGCAAATGGAGGGAGTGTCTGAGAAGAGGGAATGGAGGTAGGTCAGGAGATGGGAGAGAGTGTTGTGAGTCTCTGGTGTAGAAAGAGCGAGTGACTGCAGCCATATGGCAAGATGAGAGTCCCATGAATGCGGTGGCACAGGGTGGACAGGCAGGGTCTAACCAGGGGGGCTGCTGGGCCCTGGTCCTTCTCACCAAACCTCTAAAGAAAGCATCTAGGTGGCAGGTGGAGGATGAGATGAGCTTCACAAAGAGTGAGTGCTTCTCCAAGAGAATCCTG